CTGCCACATTGTGAGAGTAGGTGGAGCCTGCAGCCTTGCCTGCTATGTGTAGGAACTTGAGTTTTTCCATAGGACCAAGCAAACCATAGAAAATTTGAAAGTGGCATATCAGAATGACAGTTTAGATAAATCCTTTTTGTGTACCTCAAGGCAGGAAGGAGACCAGTGAAGAGATTATCAATGGTCCAGAGAGAGAGAGAGAGAGAGAGAGAGAGAGAGAGAGAGAGAGAGCTGATGAGGGGGCAAAGGTCATAAACAGAACCATAAGACAGACTTTGGGTAGCCCAGGAGGTTAGTCTTCCCCATGGTAAGTAATGGTCATAAACACTTGTCCTTTGGAATCTCTCCATGGCTTAGGGCCATCTTAAGAGGTAGAATCAGGCGAACTGGGGCAGGACTACTAGGCCTAATGAGATTGTATGGCAGTCTAGACACCACTGTCTTGTACCTCTCACTCTGCATTTTCATTTCATTTAGTTTTCTTGGGCCCCTTTACTGCAGAGGCTGGCTAGCCCCTTCTGTAGGATGGTTCTTAGTGATTGGCCTCTCTTAACAATTACATTTCTCTTAATACAAGCATCCTATGAACTAGAACTATCTTCTTTACCTGCTGCAAAAATGGTCTTTTATTGAATCTAATATTGGGGTAGTGAAGAAGTGAATGGGAGCCTGAACAATAATGGCAGTAAGCTTGGGGATGACATGACTGGGGTTAGGAATAGGAAGCAGGACAAATGATGGCTGAGAGGCTGGGAATGAGGGATGGTGGGAACCTTAAACCAGAGTAGTTCAAAGGTAGAGGAGGAACTGGGACAGCAGTTGATGTCTTGATTGGGTGCTTAGGAAGGAGCTGATGTACAAGTTTTTGAACAGGAGAGCCTTACAATACTACAAGAATCTTTCCTGGGGGAAGCTAAGAGAATGGTGGATTTGAATGGAACTTGTGAATTTTTCTGGAATAATCAGTCAACAAAGAACTCAGTTTTGTAGCATTCAAGAATTGCCAGTGCCCACCAGACTTAGGAATCAGGAAACTGGGAAATAAAATGAAACTGTCTTTGAAGAACGTGGGACACTGACCATCATGTGTATCAGTGTGGTTTGCTGCTGTGTTGTTTGTGTTTTGACATGTCTCATGGTAGGAAGTGGATCTTATCTGTCATCCTTATGAGCCATCTGGTGGCACAGGTGGGTGGCCATTGAGGTGATCCCCTATGTGCCATGTGGTCAAGGGCAGGGCTAAAGTATAAAGAAGGTAAGTTCCCATGAGGCCTAATATTTGTTGGGTATGACATGTGATGTGCATTGAACTGGAAATTAGGGATCCTGGTTTCTCACCTGAAAACTTGTCAGAAATTTTTCCCTCAGTTTCTTCTGTAAAGTGGGGTTTAATAAACACACTTCTGTCTACCTCCCAGGTGATGGGGAAGTAGTATTTTCCAGTAGCCCTTTTCTGTTTGCCACCTGCTTGTGCCCTTTACTTCAGGGGCTGAGCTGGGCTGATTTTAGCAGGAATATTATGTGCCAAGTTGGCACTTGGATGGGCTCAGGTGCTTTCTAACCTTCCTTGTTTGCACTTATAAATATCCTGTCTTCCTCATTTGTTTTCAGCTCACAGTATAGTTTAGTTTTCTGTCTACTAGGATAAAATAACATGCTACCATAGTTTGGAGGTAGTTGGAAGCCAATTAAAGAAGAAAGTAAGATATCCATGCCAAGACTGGGGGCACTTGGGCCACTGAGATATTATTTTCACAAGGCTTCACTGGCTAATAGTGATTATAGATGTGATCCTGCATGTCAGAGCAGAGAGGATCAGTATCATAAACTGTTAAAGTTGCTAAAGGAGAACATGGCTTAGTAGAAATGAAATATGTTGAATTTAGGCTTTTCACATTGACTGTATATAATTTAAAGATTGTTGAAAAACACCCTCTGTCCTCATGATGGGAATAGTCAGGCAAGATGAGGAAGGCCAGGGTGCTGATTAGAATGACTTGGTTTCATGAAAGTAACTCTTGGAAAACTCATTTAAAATCAAGAGTAGAAGATAGCTCAATGCTGGAACATAATAGGACAGTCAGCTAGATTGGAACTAAATGCTTATTCTTTTTAGTAGGTTCCTAGACTTTTGGATAGGGAAAATCAAACAATAGCCCAATGGAGTTATAGGGAAAATAGTACATGTATTAGTCAACTTTCCTATCATTGGGACAAGATATTGGCACCTACAACTTAAAGGAATATAGTTTAATATGGCTCATAGTTTCCAGTGTGTTTAGTCCAAATTTGGCAAGCTTCAAGGCAGAAACAACGCAGTAGAAGAGCCTGGTGGAAGATAGCTGTTCATCCCATGGCAAGTAGGAAGCAGAAAGAGAATGACAGAGAAGGAAATCGAGGCTGAAATATACCCTACGGATCATGCCCCAAATGACCTACCTCAACCATACCCCACCTCTCAACAACACATTCAACTATGCACTCATCAATAGAGTAATCCACTGATGAGATTAGCACCCAGTCACCTTCCAAATGCCCTGCCTCTGAATATGTGAAACTGTGGGGGAGATTTTAGACATAAATCAGAATAGCACCTAAGAATCTGCTTATCTCTTCTTGGCTGTGGGTATAGAACAGTAAGACTTAGCAGTGAGGCCCAGTATTGCATTTTTACTTCTGTATTTAGCATGTTGGAAGTGTCTAGGGTATTCCAGAAACTGAGGAAGACTGCTGGCATGACTCTTTTGGGATTCCAGAAGTGTTGAGGCCCTATACAAGGTGGTTGGGGCCCCTTTCTCCGCTGTATACTGTAACTTCAGACTTTTTGATGGGCTTGATCCTGGGTAACTATGTGCAGCTTCTACTTGTTCCCTTGCCTAAGGTGAGTAACTTTACTGCTGCATTGGGTTAGAGAATACTATCGTTGTTTATTTCTGTCTTAGGCTGCGCTTGAGGGGTGGGATGGGAGTGGGGATAAGCTAAAGTCTGGGTGTTGAATTTCCAAGTCTACAATCCTTATCTGGCACCACTAGAATCAGAAGTGTTTCAGAAATCATTTGGATTTTAGAAGCATAGTATAGTATGTTGTAGTTTTTAGCATTTATTCCCTGGGTGGGGGCTGGGGAAGAACTTCACAATCAAATATGTTAATATTATTTTATGGAAAATATATGGACATTCATCATAAGCATAATAAATATGGCATAAATAGTGTCACCTACATTCAAGTCATGTTTTGCTGCCACATTAGCTTTAAAGAAACAAAATTTCCATTTTTAAGGTAATTTTGATTTGGCAGTTGCTAATAAATGATTGAACACCTATGGTCATTGATTTTGTACTTTTAATCATATTGATTCACAGGGGAAAGGCACATTCTTGATGGCTCTTTCCTTGGAGAGGTTCTTTAATGAAGTATTGAACAGGTGATAGCTTTCTTATGTATTCTTTTCAAGACACTTCTTTTTTTTTCCATTCTTGTTTTTCTTCCTCTTGGCAGAGATTCAAGCATCCTTGCATTGATTTTCCTGGTAGTACTCTTTTCTTCTAAATGTAGACTCAGAACTGAGGAATCAAATGCTAAAGAGTATACTCATGACAAAGCCAATAGGTCCATAATGCAAATAATCTATATTCATCGAAGCTTTCAACAAACTTAGGGACACATTCATCACTTTCTGAAACACAGCACTAAGTCACTGTAGGCAAAGGAACTTCACAAACATGAGTTTCATTTTTTGTCCTTAAAATCTTTTTTTTTTTTTTTCTTTTTTCTTTTGGTACCGGGGATCGAACTCATGACCTTGCACTTGCCAGGCAGGTGCTTATGCCACTCAGCTAAACCCCTGGTCCTTCATTATTTTGTCAATTCTTAGTCCTGCTTGAATATCTTGTCCAACTGCTGTCATAATTGAAAGATTAAACTTGCAGTGTGTCAGGTTACTAGGAATAGTCAGGCTTCTGGGTCTTTTTAAAAACAGGCTGGTTTGTGGGGTCTCAGATTTGTGAGGTCCAGCTTCTTAATGGAGAACCCAAAAATGTGTATGTTTAGCAAGTTTTGAAGAGGATTCCATAACGTTTGAGAATCACTGCATAGTTGATGGTCACATAATTGCAGGTTTTTAAAGACTGTTGCCCAGGCCTAGGTCACACAAAATATCAAGAAACTGACTGATTTCCTAGGACAAGATTCTGTTTGGTTTTACCTGAGGAGAAAATAGAAGAGTAAAAACTACGTAGATGTGCTTAGAAACAAAAGAAACAAGCTTTGGAACCTGGGGTGGCAGTTTGATTGGATTGCCAGATGAAGTACAGCATGCCTGATTATATCTGAATTCCAAATAAACAATGAACAATGTTTTAGTATAAGCATGCTATATGTACTATTTAGGACCTACTTACACTGAAATATTATTCATTGTTTATTTGGAATTCAAATTTAAGTTAGCGGCCTGTGTTTTTATTGCTAAATTTGGCAGTGCTGGGGTATTGATAAACCCACTTTCCCCCTTGGGAGGCAAAACAGATGGTGTGTGTGTGTGTGTGTGTGTGTGTGTGTATGTGTGTGTGTGTGTTTCAGCTCAGAATCTATTTTTGACCTTTCCTTGGTTAAAAGCTTCTGTGATTGAGTACTTATGCCATATTGAATTTGAAGCATTGAAAAACTGAGTCTTGTCTCTTCTGTCGTACTCTCCCCTTCCATCTCTCATACATATATGTATTGCAAACAGGCTTTGGAAAGACACTTGCTTCCGCTTTATTTTATTTTATTTTTTTTGCACTGGGCATTGAACTCATGACCTCATGGTTGCCAGGTAGGCAGGCACTTACACCACTGAGTTAAATCCCTGGCCATTCCTCTTTATTTTTAACTGATATGTAAAACATAACAATTTTATGTTAGAGTTTTGGTAAGTTTGTTGTTTGTATGTTATTATTAGAGTCACACTGTCTGTGTCTAACATTTCTCCTACTAACCATTCTTAATCTTTCAATTGCAGATCTTCCTCTTGGCCTGTCCTCCATGTCCGGGAGCTATCGTGGTCTTTAAGTAAGAAAAAAAAATTTTTTTGTTCTATTGCCATTGCTATTCAGACTATTTTATCTATTTGATCACAAAAGATGCTGTGCTCTGAACACCTTGGGTTTATATCACTTCCACTCTGGGATTTCCCAGGGGATAAAAGTCTGTGAGGGTGCACTGAAATAGGGAAATACTGCACATGGAAGTATGGACTTTGTCAAGCCCTTATAAATACTTTGCAGCCTATCTTTGTGGTTATACAGCCAAGGAATATACCTTTCCTTGAAAGGTTGCTACCCTCCTAAAGTTGCTCTAGAGAGTATACCAGGGACCAGAAAACTTCTTCCTAAGCATCTTTGCATTACAGTTTTACTACTCAACTACGGATCTCAGCTCTTCACATTGAAGGGGATGCCCTTCTCATGTTTTAATGCTTTTGTCTTAAAGTGAAAAGTAAAATGAGGAGACAAAAATATATCACAAGTTACAAGTCCTGACTTTCAAAACTAGCAAGCGTCTAATTCATTAAAGTATATACAAACACACCATGTTTCTTTGAAGGCAAGTTTACTTAAATGAAACTGAAGAGTCCAGGAACTTGTATTTTATCATGAGTTTTGACCATCACACTTATCAAACTTTTTATAACAGTTGCTGATGAAACGCCAAATTAACTTGAATTAATTTAATTTCTTCCCCCAACCTCCGCAGTTTTTAGCTGTTTCTGAGCAGTGAAATGCCCTGAAGCCAGTGGGAGGGAACAAGAAGTAAAGAACCTAGCAGATCCTTGGATAATTGAGAGTGTTTTAAATGGCTTTCTGATTTACTTAAGTCATTAAAGTGTTAGGTAGGGAGAAAAATATCCCATTTGCTGCATCAAATAGCCTCCTTGAAATAGCCACTCAGTTTCTTGCTTTAGGTGAGTCACTTTCTACTGGGTAAGGGCTAATGGATTCTGACTTTATATATTTCTTACTTGGACAGACTCTGAAAGAAAGGTGTATTTAACCCTGTTTCCTTCTCTTGATTTTCCAAAACGAGGTCAATTATTCAGCATAATGTTTTAAAAGTAACATTTATTGCTTTTATTTCATTATGCTAAGATAACAGTTCTCATTATAGAAAATACAGATACATATAAAGAAAATAAACATAACCTCTAATCCTACCCTCAAGATAATATTGATTTTTTTCTTTTTTAATCAGCAGAGATCAGTTTGTATATTAAGATTTTTATACTTTTCAAAATTGTTTAATATCATTATATATTTATGTTCATATATAAATAAATAAGCATGCTTGCTAAATTACTTTTTATTGTCTCCTACCTTTTTTTTTTGGTTTGATTCCTAGCTTTACCATTTCATACCATCTCTACATATTACCAAACCAATATGTATCCTTCTGTATTTTTCTGTATTTTCATAGGTGCGGCACACACACATACACACATTCCTATGGGTTTGGGGTTGTTTTGTTGTAGTTCATTGTTTGTCTTGCAAAAATAGAATCTTACATACACCTTAGTTTATTTTAGTTTTTTAACTCGACACTATCTCACAGAAACCTATCAAAGTCTATTGGTGGGGGCCTTTTTTTTTGTAAGGCTAGAAAATATTTCATGGATACACAATAGTATATCCAATTGATTCTCCTGTCAATGAACATTCACTTTTTTCCATATTTCTTCTGCTAACATAAATATCATTGTACATACTCCCTTATATAGTATTGCTTTTAACTTATAGATAGATACAGATATATATATATATGAATATTTATATATGAATATATTGATAAATTTGCCATATTTAAAAATGCAGACTGGTATACCTTAGTTTTTCCTTTTTTCTGTACTATATGAGATTATTTTTTTTTTCATATTCTTTTTTTTTTTTGTCTTTTTCCTTTTTATCGGTACCGGGGATCGAACTCATGACTGCCTGCTTGCAAGGCAGGTGCTTATGCTGCTGAGCTAAATCCCCAGCCCCTTTCTTCATATTCTTATAAACAAAAGATATTATGATTCTTTTACAATTTGACAACCCAGTGGTTATAGGCTCTTGAATACTAGTCTAGTGAATTTTAGTATTGTATCTTGTTTCTTTTGGTCAGATTAAATTTATACTTGAGTTTTTTGTCTATACATATTATTTCCCAATTTTATATGGAATATTTATGGTTTTCTTAATTTGTAATACTTTTCTTTTATGTTTTAGGTATTATCTTTTTATTATCTTATTATCTTTTTTAGTCAGGGTCTTGCTATGCAATTTGAACTGACCTTGAATTTTGTAGCCCAGACTGGTCTCAAACTCACTCCTGCCTCAGCCTCCAGATTTCAGGGATTGCAGGTGTGCACCACTACATCTGGCTAGGTATTGTTTTTTATCTGTTGTTATTGTTAAGGTATCTTTCCCAAATGTGTATTCCTTGACTTTGCTGATGATATAGCCATATACTTTTTTGGTATATTTTTCATATTTAGTATGATTTCTTATATAATTTCAGGATTTCCAGTCCTGCTTAAGATTGTTATTTCAAAGATGGATAACAAGTTTTAAATAACATATTAAATAATTATTACTTTTCTCTTTATGAATTGAAGAAGCATCTTTGTCAGCTATTAAACATTATGTATGTTAGACTCTATTATTGATCATTCCATTTCATATATTTCTGTCTTTCCTTATGAAGATCATATTGATTTGATTACATTAGCTTAAAATTTAGGGAGGCTATTCTTTTGGCACTTTCTCCTGCATATGCATATTGAGATCACTTTTACTCACTAATTCTCCAATTCTATTAGGATTCTGGTTAGAATTCAATTAAATTTGTATTTTACATTTTTACTATCTAGTTCTTTTTTCTACAAAATGGAAATTATTTCCACTCATTCTGATGTTATTTTATGTCTTTGATATAGATCTTTCCTTTTCTTATATATTCTGTTTCTTGCTTGATACTTTTATCACTAAAATATTGTGTTTTCTGTTATGAGTGGAATATTTTCTCTCTTTCTGTTCCTAAGTGCTTCTTCCTAGAATAGAAGTGATTATTTTTAAGATATCTAATTTAGCTTTAGCTCTCTTACCAAATTCTCTTGTGAGTTTTGGTAAATTTTATCTTAGTTTCATCTTTTCTCCTATCACAAGCACCTTATAAATGCCTAAAGGAAAATGAACTGGTCAGCTGACAGATACTCTCTTTTGAGTAAAGCTTATTTATAAAGAAACCCTTAACTTTATAAGACACATAGAACTGGTCTAAGGCCTTGATGTTAGATACTCAGATAAATACAAGACTATATTGAGTTTAAGTCACTCACTGGATAGGAAGTTCAGGTTTAATTTGATGCAAGCTGAAACAGTACTCTATTTTAACAGAGGTTCTACAAAGTCTATGTTCCTTGAAGCTAGAGTATGTAGCTTGTGAGCAAAGCTTAGCTGTTTGCTGGAGATAATCACACCTGATTAGCATCTCTATGGTGTCTCTTTGTGGTGATTTTTCCCATCTTACTTGTCACTGTAGCTGTGATAGTCTGCTCTTTTGTTTTCCATTATATCCAATTAGCCTTTTTTGGGCGCTGCTCTCTAAAGAGCGGGCGGGGGGAGGAGGGGACACTCCTTGCCTCCACTACCAGTATTGTGACATCATTGCATATGTTACATAACAAACGTCATGTTCCTTACATTTTCTCAGTGGTTACACTAAGTAATTCATTTTCTTGTTGCATTTGCTAGAAACTCAAAGACAGAGCTAGATAAAAAAATGGTAGTCACCCTAAAACTGATTTAAATTGAATTGTTTTCTGTGTTCCTCCATTATTTCTATTGATGTTTGTTAAACAGTCTATTATTTTTAAATACTTTCCACATTTATTGAAGAAATTTTGAAAAGACAGTAGTGGTTGCTGTATTTTATTAAATGCTTTTTTGACATCTCTTGATCCATATAAGCTTTGTTTTTCATTTATTTTTGTTGTTTTTGCTCTGCTGGGGATCAGACCAAGGGCTCCATGCATATTAAGCAAGCACTCTACTACTGAACTGGCTCCCTCTTTCTTTCTTTTTCTTTCTTTCTTTCTCTCTCTCTCTCTCTCTCTCTCTCTCTCTCTCTCTCTCTCTCTCTCTCTTTCTTTCTTTCTTTCTGTTTTTCAAGATGGGATCTTGCTGTGTAGTCCAGGGCTCACCTTGAACTCACTGTGTAGCCCAGGTTGGTCTCAATCTCATGACAGTCCTCCTGTTTAGTCTTCCAAGAGCTGGGATTATAGTCATTTACCATGATCTTTAGCACCCTTAGCCTTCTTTTAAACTTTTTTTCTTGCTTTTTCTTCTTTTTTAGAGTTGGGCGTTGAACCTAGGACCTTGTACCTCAGTTGCTCTACCATGGTGTTACAGTATATATGGTCTTTTAAAATTTTGTTTTGAGACAGACTCTGTAAATTGCCAGATTGGCCTAGAACTTGTGGATCTCTTGCTTTAGCTTCCTAAACAGCAGATATTAAAGTTATAAGCCCCTACGCTAGGCTCTCACTTAAGTTTTTGGTACAACAGTAATGTAACTACTCATATTACTGAAAAAACCTGTTCGTCATAATATATCATTATTTTAATGTATTATTACATCACTGGATTACTTATCAATATTTTATTTAGAATAATGTTTCAAGATTCATGAGTAAGAGTATAATCATTTTGTATTCTTTTCCTGTAAAATTATTTGTGAATATTCCTTCTTTTGTTGTGGTCTGTAATACTTTAATACCCTTTAAATCATGTATTCTTTAAAAGTGAGGTGAAAACTCATGAAAAGATTTTGAAAAGGCACCATGAGGTTTTGGTGCCTTTTTACTTGGGTAAACATATAATCACTTTTTCAGTGTCTTCTATGGTAAACAATCTGCTTAAATCTTTTGGATGTATTTTGACAATTTGTATTTAGCTAAGAAATTTTCCATTTTTTCTAAGTTTTCAAATTTGTTACAAATTTAGTTGAACTGGCTTAGTTGCTTTCCTCCTTGC